CACTGGACAGACAAATGTGTGATGAGGCGAAACAGTACGCTCAGACGCTTGCAGATATGGGTAGCCTAGTACATTCTCCGAGCAGTGACAGAGTTGGACAGGGAGAGAATCTTGCCATGGAATGTTTATCAAACGGTTCACCAACCATAGAGGACGCCGTGACAAATTGGTGAGGTTAAATCTCGCTTTCTTGCTGCGCAGAAATTCGATTAAGTGTAGTATTCAACCTTGGCCTTTGAGAATAAGCTCCCGAGGCTATCCTACACAATGATGTCATTTCCAGGAAATTTACCCCCAAACCTCGCTTTCACTAAATTCTCCCTGAATCTTTGCTAAGTTCCTATCGTTTACCCGTGGGTGTTCCTTTTATTTTTGGCCCTATTCCCCATAAAAAGAGTAAGTAACAATTATGGTAATTAGTTTTTTTCTGTTTCAGTGTTTTGGGTATGCTTTTAATTTTGAATTACATTTTACCAGTTCGCTACTTGAGGGTAAGGCGTAGAGGACGAAATTGACTATTGCAACGTAAAAATAAACCAGGCCTACTTTCACCAATCTGGTTACAATTCTTTTCTTAGACGTAGGGTGTAGTAACCCTGACTATTTCTGAATGATATGATTCGAAACACTAAGGAGTAACCACCCTTCCAGACAAAACATCTGAAACAAATATCGAATATATTTGGCGCTCTGCAATAGCGGCCCGCACATAACCCATGCTAACGTTCAATCCAGTTTCTTGCTGTAACCCTCATTGGTGTCACTTCATGTTACAGTTAATCACCTGACACCTTGTAATATGCTAACAGGAATCCATTGTGACATCTTCATCGGTTAAGACAAGCATCCCCGAAACCAAAACCTTTTTTGTGTTCCCTTTCCTTCTTACTATTTTTTCTTACTTTTATCCAATTACTCTGCTTCTATTCTTGTTATAGTCTTTCGCCAACTCCTATTATCAATTTTTACGGAAGCAGACTTAAGGATACAAAAGAATTCATAATATTTTTACATAGTCACACTCTTCTGTCACGCTTTCTTTTCACGAGAGACCAGGACAGAATTTCCCCCAACAGTATCAATATAAATAAATATAAAGCAGAAAACTCATGTGAGTGAAGAAAAATATCACTGTAGGGGATTATTAAGTGATCCAACATCAAATTCCCACAACAAATATCTTAGGAATTTTATAGAGAATAATCGAGCCAAAAGCCGAGCCAAAACACCAATGGTGATACCAAACTCACCAGATGAGCTGCCTTAGCACAAATTTAGTACCCGAATAGTGCTTGGAATCTATTCAAATTTTCAATCGTTACAGGTCCCATGAAAAAAGCGCTCACGAAAATGTGATACGAGTTAACAAACGGCGTAAAAAGGAATAGATGAAAGAGATAATAAATTTTAGTGAATATAGCGAGCAAAGTGGCAAATCAGGGTGGTGAAACATACGTGAAACCCATGTCTGCAAAACTATTTTAGGTATTTGAAAACATGACACAGGGGTAGAACTGCTTGAATTAAAACTGTGAGGACAGTCTCGACAAAATCGGAACACATAAGGTCGCTAATCATGGACGATACTCTCCGCCGTGTGTTTCGTGATGAGTGACGCCAAAGCAGTCAAATTTATGCCTAAGACATTGCTGTGACCGCTGATTTTTCTTTTCCTTTATTTTTGTGTTCTCTTTATGTAGTCTCGATGTTTTCCAGGTACAACGAGGTCTGTGATCCGGGATACGATTTTGCCAGCCCCTCCTTCTCTGGTGGAACAGGCCACTTTACACAGGTAGTTTGGAAAGGCAGTACAGTTCTCGGAATCGGACGGGCAGAGGGTACAATGCGAGGAATGAAATGTACATATACTGTGGCCAGATACAGACCAGCTGGAAACAT